GGTTGTTACAGTGGTGGGATGCTTTTAGCCATGGAGTTTTGAAAGCATTTTAGCCTTGTGTTGACGAATTGAATGCTGTACGTTTCTCCATTTCTACCTTCAGAGGCCTAAGTGGTAGCTACATTTCTGACTCTTGATCTGTATTTTACAAACTCTTTTCTGTGTCACTGTAAATACATCCAAGACCCTGCACCTTATGCAGAGAATGTTTACATTTTAAAAAAAAAAAGTTGGCTTTTTCACTGCGCTGCTCAGATGCTGTTATGTTGAAATGAAAGTAGTCTCTGTTAGAAAAAGGGGCTTTTTTTTTCTTTGCCCTTCACCACTTCCCCTGTAATTCTGACTCCCTCCTGGATGACGGCTGGCAGTTCTTGGACAGCTTGTGCTCTCCCGGAGTAGGATGTAGAGGTATTTGAGAAAGGCGTTTTTGAAAACTTGCCTTGGGTGGGGGGACAAGCTTCATACGCTCTGCAAACTTTCTTGGAAAAAAAAGAAAAAAAATCTGCTTCAAACCCGCGAAATGTTGGTGGTCTGCGTTGCAAGTTAACTGGTCTAGGAAGCCTTTGAGTTAAAACTTCCCAGCAACTGTACTTCTGTCTTCTCCCAAAGAAGACGAATGTCCTGCTATTATATCTGCAGCTACAAACGCTTCTGTTGGTTAATGACTGTATATACAAGTCTGCCTGCTTTAAGACTTTTCCTTTTCATGAAGTGTTTTTGATTGCTCTGTTCTGCAAATGGCTCTCCTCTTCCATATTTCATCCGCTTAGATACTCTGTAGCCGCGTGTGTGTTGCTCTTATTCGTAGGAGATGGAGCTATAGCTCTCCTTCCAAGGGAGATAAAATGCCACTGAGCCTACAAAAGTCAAACAGTTGAAAGATGAGATGTTCTAACCAGTGGGCTTCTTACCGTGGACTTTGAGACTCTTAATAAATGTGTCCATTGGACCCTCTGTGAAAAAGTATGTTCCTGCCCTCTAAGCAGGACCATTCATTGGGTATTTATCGAGTAGAACTCTGTATTTGTATGTTTTACAGATGAAGACCATTTGATCAGAGCCGTGGGGCAAATAGAGAACTTAAAATCCTGACTCCTGCCTTAAAACTTTTAGTTCGTCTTCGAGCTTCAAAAATTCTGCACCTGCTCATTCCCAAGTCACTTTTTCTTTAGGAAATTTAAATCCAGTGGAAGGCTGGAGACAATTTAAGGAAATTTAAAACAAAATAAATTCTAGCTGATGGCTTTATTAAAATAACTAACTGGTCTTGTATTGTGCCTCTCTTAAGTCCAGGGAATGTTTAAAAAGTGGAGGTGGCTTTTGAGCATTGATCGAAACGACTGCATTAGCTGGCGATTTGTAAGACACTTGCTTTCATATGCTCTGAGCAAGAGACTTCGGTTTGTGTCCTCTCTGCCTCATGGTAATGGCTTTCAAAGATGGCTGGTACCATCAAATTTGTACTTCTTGAATAAATATCTTCATTTTTATGGTAAAACTTTTTGTATGTGGTTTGTTTGTGTGCACCATGTAACAAACATTCATATTATGTAGGACACGGGGCTGGATTTGGTACTGACACAGCAAATACACAGCTCCAACATGCAGTGAAACAAGGATGAGGGGATTCCAGTGACATGACTTCCCCCCGCCCCGTAATTTTTATAAAATCTTTTAGAATCAGATATACCAATTGTATAAAGCACGCTTTTAAACTTTTTTTTTCCCCCTCCCTAGCTCCTTCAGTCCATGAAGAATTCTAGGCCAATACAAAGATGCTGTGAACATCAGGTAACTTTTACAATGCATTATGTATTTTCATGTACCTCTGTTTCTCAGTTGACATATCACAGTAGTGTGTGCAGATATTTTAAATCAACTGCAAAGCACAGGTAGATTCTCTTTAGAGTGTTAAGCTATGTGATTTTTAATTTTTTTTTTACTTTTAACCTAGGGAAGATATTTTACCATTGAGAGCAAACCATCATGAACTATCAGAAGTGCTGTGCAAAGTTTCTGTATTTAAAACAAAGAAGAGAAACTTCTTTCCCCTTGCATTTAAAAAAATAAAAGTAATCCTGGAAATGCCATGCCTTAAGAAATAAATTCAGTGCTGTTTTTCTTTTTAAGTTTCTTACAGGGCTTTTAATTCTGAACTGGAGCTCTACAACTTTTTCATTACCTGTTTGATACCCTAGAGACACATTTTGGTAATAATTTTGATGTGTGACAACATTTTATCTTGCAAACGAGGTGTGCAGTCCGTGGAGATGTGCTCAGACATCCAGCACGAACCTGCTCTGTGCCTGGCTCCTGCTGTCTGCAGATGCGCTCCTGGCTCCTTGGTGATCAGTGGAAAATAATGGATCTCTGTAATTGTCCTGTAATTACATTAACTGACATGTTGTCTTAATTCAGGTCACCACTTTTATAGTCTTGATTAACTACCTAATGTATCAGAGGAGTAGGAGTAATTTTTTTGTAGGCCGCTTTGGTCTAATGTTATCACAGCTAAACTTTTCAATTTTTTATTTTTTTACCTTAGGATAATTTCATGGTAGAATTTATGATGTGAGTTATAAACAAATAAGCATGCGATTTTCCTGCAACTTTTAAACTTTTTTCCATATATATTTACATTCTTCTTTTATATGTATGAGGATCTATAATCTTTTTTATATATACTTATTCGCTTGTGTGTGTTTATGTAAAGCAGCAGGTGCGAAGGCTTGTTCCTAGCCATTGGTTCTGACCCATGAGACCACCCTGCTGCCACCTCCCCAGCATGGACAGAGAAGTTCTTAGACCCCACGTCCTCAAACACCAGGACTATAAAACTGTGTGTGATCTTTCTTTACCCATCTTCTAGTTGACCAAAGGTGTGGTCGCTTGTCAGGTAGTCAGAGGGATGCCCATCTCATGTTGTGCCATGCGTGCATGCCGACACCACACCACACCAAGCTCTCCTTGGCCTGCAGCTGGAGCACATTTCGATGTATGAAATGGGGTGGGGAACTCCGGGCTGATTGTTGACCTAAGCAAAACTCCAAACGGATGTCGATTCTAGGTCAAAAGTGCACAAGAGTTGAAATTTTCTCAGTCGCTGCAGTGACATGAGGTGCTGCTTCACACCCTACAGCATATGAGCTGTAGGATGGAGAGGGAGGTGCTAATCTTCCGATTATCCAGTGCTAGGACATGTGGGAATGGTTCAGAGCTGTAGGGGAGGTTTAAACTGGACATTGGGAAGCATTTCATTGCCCAGAAGGTGGTCAAAGACTGGAACAGGTTGATGCCCCAAGCCTGTAGGTGTTTAAGAGGCATTTGGACAATACCCTTAAAGACATGCTTTGACTTTGGTCAGCCCTGAAGTGGTCAGGCAGTTGGACTAGATGATCCTTGTAGGTCCATACCAAATGAAATAGTCTAGTCTAGTTCAGAGCTTATAGGAGACTGCGTATGATTTATAGCACTATGTTATATAGATTATGGTGTTTCTATTCCTAATTAACATACAATTAGTGTTTGTATTGTGCCTATATTCATATTTCATTGACTATATCTCACTAGATGATATTGTATAACATGCTGCAACCATGGTGAGGTTTCTGCCACTCGCCCCGGCCCACTGCCAAATTCCGATTGCTTTCTGTGGCTAAAGCTGCATCCGAGCCTGGGCAACGCACCCATCCTGCTCGGTCTGTGCTCCTGCAGACCGGTCCTGTGTTAGCACCTGCTGCTGGGCTCCAGCGACAGCACTAAGGGAAAGTCTTTAACTGCAGACCTGATTTTGCTGTTTCTTATGCTGGATAACAGCCCTGGTCAGTGCAGAAACTCTGGAGTCGTTCTGGACACCGTAGGAAGCATCTGGCTGAAAGCTCAGGGTGGCTGGTCCCTCCAAATCTGGACAAAAAATACCAAGGTAATTTATGGAAAAGACACTGAGCTCTGCAAAGAGTGGTTCATTGTGTTCTCCCTTTCTCTGCATAATCCCAGAAAGTTGGGATTTCAGCTGTGTGGTTTATTTTCTCTGGATTCAGAGCAGTTGAGCAGTTGCAAAGGTCCGAGAGGTGGGATGCCACCTTCCAGGCATGCCGAAACCTCACTTCGTGGGAGGTCAGTGGCGGTGCTCAGAGACTGGAATTTTCTATTCTAATTAGTCCCTTATGCTGTAGCCACGCTGCTTCGTTAGAGAAGCTCTCTAATGGCAGCGAGTTTGGAGGAGGCTCTATGATGTCCTGCGTGCAAGATGGGGGGCGGGGGGAAATAAATTCACTGGATGGCTGTGCCAAAGGGTAAACAGTCAATATTTAGCAAGAGAAACCAAACTGCCTCTCTTCCTTTCTCTCCACATGGACTTAATTAGGTGGTTTCGTTAACAAAGCAAACAGCGTTTCCTGTCATTGGGCCGTTCCTCAGGACGCCGGGAGCTGCCGAGCCTGGAGCGCGCAGGCGAGGGATGTCGAGCGGGAGCGGGTCCAGCCCCAGGCACCAGCCCTGTATCACACCAGCCGTGCTTTGGGTGCGGCTGGGCAACGGCAGCGCCGTGAGGAGGGCGCTCCCTAAACCTGTGTGTAGCGGAGGGGACAGCGAGAGGTTGTGTCTGGCACACTGGGAAGACACAGCTGTTCTAGTATGCGGGGAAAGAGAACGCTGAGAGCAGGCCTGGTCCTGGGGAGTTGTGAGACACGAGGCTGAAGGCCAAGTTGCATCTGTCCTTCCTCCTCCTCAGACACCAGTCTCTGGTGCTCACCTTGGCAGAGCAGCGGCGATGTGCAATGGAGAAAACGGAACAGGCAGTTGCTTTACTGCAGCACTGTGATTTATTCACTTTCTACAAGTTTGGTACATCTATCTGGCCTGAGCCCAGGGGGATGGAGACACCAGGCTGCGTTGTTCCCAGCTGGGTAAAGGGTTCTTGTTGACGCTGTTAGGAGCTCACTGATCCTGCTGGGAGGCTATTCACGATCCCCTTCCTCTTTTCCTTGTTGTTTGTCAATTCAGAAGACTGCAAACATCCTGAATTCCCCATAGTTCAGTTGCTAATTTTGGGGAGGAGATGGATGCCTAGCTCAGCAAGGCAGCCTTGCCCAACATAACGAGTTATTTCAGAGAAAGACCCCAAGTCCAGGCTCTCATCCCCTTCTCCAACTTGCTCCAGTTTCCCGACAGACTCAGGAGAAATCAGTTTCAACTGAGTGCCTTTGGCTCATCCCGAACACGTTGCAGGCTAATGGGGCACCTCCCGGGCACATGGCTCTTTCTTTACCATTTGTAACGACTTGCAGATGTTGGAGTGATTGGTAACAGCTGGAGTTAGGTGTGGCTGGGCGGAGGGGAGCGGGTGCCTTCACGGCTCTATCGCTGCCACGCTGCTCTCGCTTACAGTGGTCTTTCAGGCAGCCTTGAGATGAAAGGACGGGATCAATGCGACTTGGGGCAGAAAGAGTTTATCCCAGGAAACTGCTTTGAGGGCATTAGAGAACTGTCTGCAGGCCCTGAACAGGACGGAGTCTTTGATACCTCGCTGTGCTGCTAAAGCACACAGGAAAAGGGCTGCAAGCCCTGCAGGGCTCATGGGAGAGATGCAACAACTACCTGTACAAGTAATTGAAGAGGATACTGGTGGTGCAACATAGAGGAGGGGAATTATCAATAAAAACAACCCGGGAACCCAGCAGCAGAAAAGAGGCGAAGGAGAAGGGATCTCCCTTAGTGCTCCGAGGCTGTTTTGCTAAATGTGCTCCTGGAGCGTGCTGAGATGCCGAAGTCGTGAGGACGGTGTGAAGCTGTGACAGAGATCAGAGATGTCTACAGCCTATTACTGACCAGTTCCCTACCTGTGTAGCTGCAGGTGGTCGTCACTCACAGAGCACTTCAGAGCGGGGAGGGATTTGAAAGAGCATCAGTGAGCAGAGAGGGGTGAAGGTGAGCTGGGGCAAAAGCAAACTGGCAAGGGATGGGTGTGTGCCCTTCCTAAGGGCTGTGTAATGGCAGAGTTGGAGGGGAGGTGTTGTTACCAGCTTTGTTCCCTTTTTGGTGGCGGGGAGCTGCTCCCTGCAATGGGGCAGGGATGGGCCAGATCCCTACGGCCTCTCCTTGGAACCTGGAGCTGGTTTAACATCAAAATGAGGTCTCCATGAGAGAAGAAAAAGAGCTTCCCTTGGGGCTCTGATCTGGCATTGGCATCTCCATGGCATGGGCATAAGCCAAAGTATGGAACCTGTGATGTTTCTAGAAGGAATTTCAAGTCCAAAGTACCCATCGAGGTATGCCCAGGCCGGCAGCTCTGAGAACAGACTGCAGAGAGCTTGGAAAAAAAATGAGAAGCCACAAGCAAACTCAGAAGAAAATAGCTTAAATAAAGGCAGTTCTGCCAGTCCTGCCCTCCTGCTCCCATTAGAGTCTTCTCAGACAGAGGGATATGTCTGGTTTACCTCCCAAAAATTATTTCTTCCTATTGCTATCTTACTGTTAAAACATTTGCAATTCGGACTGTGCAGTAAGTCACCAAAGACCCACTCCTGAAGACAACAGGAAGAAAACTCAGGCTTGAGAAGCGGCTGGGGGCTGTAGTACAAAATTATTCCCAAGGATTGATTTTGAATTTAGGGGTGTTTTCATGGCCTATCTTTTGACTGTAATTTCTCTAATTTTACCTCAGCTCCGGAAATATCCAAGACCTTGAATACCTTCTTAAGTTGTTCTTTCTGGATGTTGAAGAGAAACCCTGTGGCTTCAAACATATGAAAATCAATCATATTATCCCCATCTACATTCAGCAGTGGAAAGGCAGGTCCTGCGTGCCGGTGGATGAACTGCTGTTCAAGATGGTTCTGGTTTGGGGCAGAAAGGTTTAGAAACAGATGATAAGCACTGATTTCCTGCTTGGAAAGAATACGAGGAATACCAACGAGTCGTCGAACCCAGAGAATAAAGGTGACCTCCCGCTAGTTGCACCCGCAGGAAATACCAAAATCCTGGTGCTTCCTGCCATGGAGCCACGTGGGAGCACGCGGCTGCTGCTGCTGGTGGGGTTGGGGCTGTGGGCTGTGCCGGGGAGAGCTGCCAACAGCCAGCCGAGCTCCGAGGCTGCTTTGTGAGGCCCTTTCCCATCCCTCCCACGTGCCCAACGACTTGCAGGGCTGTGTCCCTTAGCTGGCTCCTCTCTTTCCTCCCCAAGTCGTGCTGGCAGCAGCCCCGAGCGCTGGCCCTCAGCCAGGTGTCCAGTCCAGAGTGGAGCTGCAGGTCCTGTCCAACCGCAAAGTCAAGCTCTGGGGGTAACCCTGGCTTTAGCACCCCTGTCCCTCATGGCAGCCTGCTGTCCTCACGGCTTTTCCCTGGAAAAGCACCAGCCTTTCCTCAGCCTGGGCTGCAGGGGATGCCAGGAGGCTGAAGAAGGTCATCAGCACACGCTGCACCAGGGACCTAGCGAAAAACAATGGGTTTCAGGTATAGCCACATCTGAGGACTTGTTTTTTGGAGAACTCCTTGCTAGGATGGACAGCCTGAGCTGGGAGGAGTTTTTAGATGGTTCTTACTCGGCAACAGGTTCAGAGGTGGATTTATCCCAGAGGAGCAAGTTTAGTATTGACAGGGGGACTGCTTGTTTCCCTGCTTTCCTTTTCTACGCAGCAGCATCAAGGCCACATTGAGACCCAGGGACCTCCTCCATCTCTGGCATGCCATGTATAAAGATCAGCTCCAGTGAGCTGATTCCCTTTTATGAGGGTGTCGGACAGTGCAGGTGTTCCTGTACTGACTCCAGGACCTGCAGGGTATGCACCTCATGGGACAGGAGGATGCACACCACCATGTAGAGCTCATTAAAGCAAACCTTCCCCCTCACATTTCAGTTCAGCAAGTCAAACAGCAGCATGATCTGGTCAGTCACATAACAGAGAAAGCAATAAAACTGCAGATCTGGAAAACAGTGAGCTCTCAGGCATCATCTGCACATTGTCTGGGAGCAATGATTAGCAGGATTTATTTTATTTTAGATGCCTGCTGCTCCCAGACAGGTTGCACAGGCAATTAAAACACAATAGCAGACAAGAGATACTGTTCAGAATTAATAGACAATATTAATAAGATGGCCTGAGTTATGGAAGGGGCATATGTGATTTCTGCACAGAAGGCAATGTTAAAGTGCTCATAATTTTCTGTCTTCTCTTCCACCCCAACCCTGGAGAAAAAATGAATTTTCCAACAAACCACAAACATTGGAAAAAGAACCCATTTTTCTTTTGGAGGTGTCACTTTTAACTTGCGATCCACTAGCAATTATTTTTAGTCCTATTTAATTTTGTCCAGTGTAGAGGAAGAGCCAAACCTCCAGATTTAGCATTTCCCTCAAACTTCCCCAAGGGCGAACACCGAGGACAAACAGCTCCTGCTAAAAAATCTGCAGCCTGATCTGATTCTTCTACCCCTAAACCCCTGCCAGGGGGGTAAATCCATGGGAAAAGGTGTCAGTCGAACTGGAGCATAAGGTGGGGTTGCAAAACGATGGGAATAGACTGAAGAACTGCAGGTGGGAGGTGGGAAAGCTGCAAAGCAGCAGATGGGGGGTTGCAAACAGCCTCACGTGGAGGACACTATTGGCAAGAAACTCACCTGCTTTGTAACACGGAGCACGATCAGTTTACGGAAGGGATTACATGACGAGGTTGCTGCAGTACTGAGGAATTAGCTTCAGTGAGCCAGAAATCCCCTCTTGCCCCGTGTTCCTGGCATCTTGCTTGCACAGCTGTACAGCCCTCCGTCGCTGCCCTGTGTTTTTCCTGTGTCCATTGTCTGCTCGTTGTGCCAGGACCTGGTTATCATGTTTGTACACTGCTAGCAAGCCTGGCCCAGGGACTTCGCATCTGCTGCGATGCAGGGCATGGTAACACTGTGAAATCAAACAGGTTTCCTAGGCTCTTGGACCTTTTTCTGTCTCACAAACAGGGAAGGAGGCAATGGAAGGGGGAAGGGGAAAGGAGTATCTTTGATGTGAGCTGAAAATGCATCTCAGCTCAGTGGTCCCCTGAGCCGTACATATTTCAGAAGGCGATACAGGAGCAGCCAGGCCGCGTGACCTTCCAGGGCAGCTGGGGCATGATAGATACATGGATATATATAGTGATACATGCTGTATCTGAAAGCTTTTTGGGGTATTGCCAAGCACTTGTATTAACCAAGCTGCTAGTTAATTAGTGTTACAGAGTGCTGCATTTGTTGTAACATCCGAAGTACAATATTTGTAACGTCTGTGATCTCTGGTTTTAAACCCTAAGCGATGTAGCGTTCTATGTGTCTCTTTTCAAAACGTTACACAGAGCCTGTAATTTTAGAGCATTAACGCCAGTCTCGTTTTCAGAAATACTTACTGGTCAGGTAATCCTTTTGATGAACATCCAGGAGCTGGAAATAATCTGCCAGTGCTGCAGTATTTCTTACAGACAACAAGCAGTGTTCTTGTATCTAAACGGAGATGCTGCAGAGAACACCCAGATTTCAGCTTCATCTCGGTTGGCCGTGGAAGATCAGGGAAACAGAATTAGCGTCACAGCAATGGCCCCTCACAGAAGGAAAATTCTGCGCTAGAACCAGACGCAACCTCTGACCTCAAAGCTTTTTCAGCATTTTCAAGAATTCCCCTCATACATGGAGACAAAGGCTCCCCTTCCATTCAGCATTAAAGGACAATACGTACTAAAATCAAGTGACAGAAATTATTCTCACAATGCTCAAGAGCATTAAATCTCATTAAAATGTGCAAGATAGCACAGACTTCAGCATTTTTTAGACTATAATGCAAATCTCAACCTCAGACAAGTGGTACCCCAAAGTCTCTTGGTCCGTGCCGAGAAGGTCCCACACAGCAGCCACCGCAGGGCTTTGCTTCTCCTCTTCGCCCGGACTTTGATGTTTCTAGTTTCCAGTACCTGACAGTGTCCTGTACAACATGTCTGGGAGCTGTAGCTCAGAGATGGCTGCTTTTGAATACCTGATTTCTTGTTCCAGTTAACTCTTGGGAAGCCGAACTGCTCTTACATTTATATAAAGTGTTTATCACCCGTTTCTGTTTCAACTCAGAACAAGTCAGGAATCCAGTGCAGCAGTAACCGTTGAAAGTGCTTTTTATTCCTTACTCCTAACCTATACCAGGAATAATACTAATAAAGTCAAACTCCACAGGCTTGCTTTGGTCGACAGACCCTCTGTAACCCAACATGTAAAAGGCAGAGCTGTACGTAGGCTTGCAGTCAGGTCAGCAGTTTCTTCCCCTTGGGTCATAATGCTGAGCGAGCGCTCAGCCCTGCTCACACGTGCTGCTGGGACCGCGCTGACTCTGAGCGGCCGTGGTTAACGCAATGGTGATGCTCCTGACCGTCTGTCCATGGGATCAGGGGTGCTCCCAGGGGTTTGGGGCAGATTTGGAAAGTTCTTTGCCTTTCTGCAGTTCATATTCTCTTTCTCTTATTTATCACTTGAAAAACAGCAATTAGTAATTCATGGATAGATAATTAACCTGTTTGCTGAGTTGGTTTGACACCTGAGAGCTTTCCACAAGAAATGGGTGGAAATAATTCAAATGGCTGATTCCCTTTCGCTATGGAGCCAAGAGACAGCAAATCTGCTTATAGGGTATCATATCGTATCTGTGGGTAAAAAATGCCACAGTGCTCAAAATGCTGTGCTGAATCAGAATTGCTCAAAAACTTTCAAAAGGGTAACTTGACTTTGCAAAATTTATGGCAGCAGAGAAATCACCTCTCTCTGCCCTGATCTGATCAGCCTACACTCAGGTAGTCTATGGGGAATCTGCCTACACTGTAAGCCCTTTGACACCAGATTTATTTTGGATTCTATGTCTTTACAGCACCTGATAAGGACCTGCTCCCTTCCCCCCTCCCCCCTAACCTCCGTCCTTGGCTCGTTAATGGGACATATATACAGGGCAGAATACACACGCTGGTGTGAGCAGTGTTGGTATCACTGGGGTTTGCACGGACAACCATTTACCACTAAGCCCTCTGTTAAAAACTGAGATACTATGAAGAGTGGCTGCACTGTCGGGTGTTTCCCCTAGATGTCCCCATTTAATACTTGATTTCAAGTTGGTTTTTCAGAGGATTTGAAGTTTTGCCAGGCAGAGGATGCGAACCTTCGCACTCGACACCAGTTGGGTCACGTCTTCTGTAAAATAAATTCATGGCGGGTGCCTGCAATGCTGATACACTCGAATTCCTGCTACTGGGAGTTTCAAAAATATTTGTGTTGGGCTGTTTTCACATGAGATGAACTGGGGGAAGAAGGAAACGTCCCTCTGTTGTCAAGGCAGTTCAGGATTATGTTTTTACACTCGGAGATGTGTCTCTCTGCTCGGCCCCTGGCAGCGCAGCCCATGAGGATGCTGTCGGCTCACCACGCTCCGTACGCCGGGCTGAGCAGGCAGGGACATGACAGCAGCCGCTGAGGAGTTTGAGACCTTCGCTTCCAGGTCTTCAATGTTATTTACATTTAGCATCACCCTCTGATGCTCCGGCCTCCTCCTTGCAGTGCTGGGGGGTGGGCGGCGGTGGCCGCGGGGAGGGATGCGACTCTCTGCCTCCCTCAGG